CGACTTGCCTCTGCCGCTCCACGCCTCACCCCGCCACGCCCCGCCCCGCCACGCCCCGCACGCAGGATGCCGCGGCTGCATCGCAATTGACGAGACAGAGTCGGCAATCGCAACAACGCAATGCCGCACCATTGCTCGTGGCTGTCTTCTTGTTCTCCTTTCCACTTTTGTTTGGTTCGCGCGTTCCCCTATACAGATTTCCTTTTTCCTTCAATGGTAAAACGAAAAAGAAAAATTCAAGATAGTTCAAAGCACCCCCTAAAAGCCAGAATATTGACTGTCAATTATTTGTCTTATTTTTTTGCGTATCTTTTTGTTGAGTATGGCCCGTTTGGCACGTCAGCGGGTCCGACATTAAAACCTGCCAATTTTTCGCCCTTCATGACAGTAAATGTCACGAGGATGAATGAACCGCCAAATCGACACCTCCCGACGCGAGAGGAGAAAATCGCTCGGCGCGGGAGAATGTCAGGTTCACAGCCTTCTAGATGTCTCCCGGCATGTCACGGCAAGACGTCGGCTGACTGCCTCCCCTCCCCTCCTCCTCCTCCTCCTCCTCCCCTTCTTATCCTTCGCCGTCGAGCGCGCGCAGCTGGAGAAATCATTCCATTTATAGCCTCCGAATCAACCCATTTTCGGGGAGTTCTTTGCTCCGACAGTGAATGGCTTGAGATTGGAATCACCAAACCAATTTCCAGCTGGGCGTGGCGTGTCGTTGCGGGGCGCAATATGGAGCGCTGCGTCGTGGGGCCGACTGAGACTATCCCCCCCCCCCTCTCCTCCTTCCTCTTAGACACGCCCCTCCCCTCGTCCATAGCGCCCCAAGAGCCCCCCCCCCCTCCAAAAAAAGCAAGCGGACTCCATAGTCACCCAGGGAGCTATCGCTGCCAACGTCAACCTCCCTGCTCCTCATGCCTTCTGGTGGGGCACTTTGCGATCCAAGCAATATTTTCGCCTTCGTGCTCACCTTTGCCCGGTGGTCTGACCTAATCCTTTTAAATTTCACAACATTTTCACCATCGGATGTTTTATCATACCACTTAAATAGGGCAAATACACGCTCATCACACGACAACGCCCTATATTGCGGGTAAAAATGTTGAATCATATATCTCTGTGAGTTCTTCCACACCCAGAAAATGATAGCCTTGACTTCACGTCAAAAAGTGCTTCCGCCTCCGACCCTTATGAAACGAAATTATTCCGAAACTTATTCTATATGCATAGTCCCGAAGTCCAGTCCGATTCCCATCGGACAGACTCAGACCCAGGACAGTCGGATAGCAGCCCGAGTCCGAGCTGGGCGAGCCAAAATAAGCCTTCAGCACACACGGCAGTCCGAAAGAAGTACGGTCGCAACCGGACAACCCGAAGAGAGTCCGAAAGAAGTCCGGTGGGAACTGTACAGCCCGAAGGCAGTCCGAGGGAGCCGACTATCATCTTCTGTTGCCACGTCATGGTTTTGGGCTGTCCGAGCACGTTATCTAGACTTTTATATTTCTTTAAAAAAAAATCATTGAAACCGAGAAGCTATATTAGTCAAATATGGAATGCATCCTTGAGCAACGGCTATCTTCTCAGTACCTCTCGAATTATAGCAGAGCGTAGCAAAGCTCTACTCAAGGAATTTTTTATCAATTTTTCCGGCCCGCACGTACGAGCTTTCCGAGTGTGCGCACTGATGGTCGAGTGCTCGCGCACGGCCGGCCAGCCTGTGCGCCCGCCGGGTAGCCACGCCCGGCGCGCACCGCTACGGGGCGGGTGGCCTACCCAGAGGCGCCTAGGCTGCCTGGCCGGCTGCAGTCAGGAGTCAGGCCTCTGTGAGAAATACTGAAATAATTGGCAACAGTTACAGGAAAGGTTTCTGCGATATGTGTTGTAGAAGTACAATTTGAAATTGTACACTTACAAGTGCTGCAAAAACCTTGGGCCAATAGTGGCCTCGCGGTTAGTCAAGTCAATATCGACTTGCAGCTCATCGACAAACAAGAATGGGCTGTCGAAAATTCACCAAGTATTTTGTAAGCCAGCCGCAATTACAAAATATGTTGTAAACTAACGAGGATATTTTTCAAAGAGAGCTGACTGGACTCAGAGAAAGAAAGCTATCGCGTTTCTCTTACTGGCGTAAATTTTATTTCATGTTTTACTCTTTCAATTGAATCATATTGTTTACATTTATATATGAGGTGTCCTCGTGGGCGTCGCTTGGACGCGTCTTTAAAAGCGACGCTACTTGCCCTTGCCTTTGGGAGGGCTTTTGGGGGGGCTTTTCTTGCCGGAGGGTCCGGCGCCTCCGCTGTACGGCTTGCTGTTCTTTTTCGGGGTGACCCTCCACTTCCACTTCGCACCCGCCACGGGCTTCTGCATGGGCCCCTGTGGCTGCAGGAACCAGGGACCATTGACCGACTCCTACATTAGGGAAAAGCCAAATGAAGCTACCGACCATCTCACAGAACCGGGCATGTAATCAAGAACCTATTTTGTAAACTACGCACAATTTAAAAAACAATAATCTACCTGTAGCGTTAGGGGTGGCTGTGTCCACTGTTTCGGAGGAGACTTCGGAGGAGACCTCGCAGGAGACCTCGGAGGGGACGAGCGCTTTTGCAGGGTATGCGGGGCATCGTCACCAGCGGCCGGCTCCGTGCAAACCTGTCATCAATGAGCGCACATTCGTTGTAAAACATGTGGATGTTCAACAAATTTTGAATTTCGTGCCCTTTAAAAGGGCCAAAAGAGCCCTTAATGTGCCCCTGAACGTAGTGCCTTTGTAAAAGTGAGGGCACTTTAACCCTTGGCACTCTTTAAAAGTGCACCCCAGTGTCGAAGTTGAAAAAGGAATACGGTAAAAACCACGTCTGAATTGATGAGGAAATAGGAAAATGCTTGAAAAACTCCGTTCGTTTAAGAAAATCTTCTCAGACTTTGAGGATTCGCCTCAAAATTATTGAGAATTCCTCTCATTTTCTTAGATTTCCTCAAACTAAAGGCATTTGTCAAAGTTTTCCCTTTTCCCTTATAAAATCAGACATTGTTTTTATTGTAAAAGTGCGTCGTTGTTCTTCCTCAATTGGCAAAAACAACCGCGAACAACAAGATTCGACCACACTGCAGTGCAGTGTTTTCCATGGAAAAACAAAGGTGCTAGACGTCTTGACAACTAACCGAAGAGGCCTTTACAAAGGCACAAAAACTGCCGAAGGCACTAATTATAAGCACCTTAATTTTTGGACAATTTAGTGCCCTGTTTTGTTTAGTGCCTTTGTGAGGCACTAAACTGAAAAAGTGTTTAGCGCCTCAGGAAAGGCACGACGACTTATCACCTTTGTTTTACCAGTGCATTTGTATCGCCATTGTACACTCTCTGTACTTACAGCAAGGAGGACAAGCGCGAGAGAGACCAGGACAATTGCAGTCTTCATGTTGAAGTATGACTCTCACTGGAAACACGCTCGCCTTAAATACACGTTTAAGCGCAAAGCTTACCGCGGTGGCCGCCACGACGAAGTCACGACTGAGCCCCACGTTTGGACCAGTTTCCGGGAGTAAGTGACCCTAAAAACACTTATGTTGTTTAACGGTAATCGTTTTATCTTTTCGTGAGCGAGCAACAAGCATAATTACTAGTGGCTGTTCGCGGTACCGGGCGTAACTGTGAATACGCAGTAGTGTGCAGTGCGCATACTGCACAAAATATTTTTGTTGTCTCATAAAGATCTCAGAACAGCAAATTTTTCTTCTTCACGTTTCGTCCACTATTTTGTTTTACTGTACAAAACGTATCTTCAGCGTTTGTGTTCAAACTGTACACCCAGAATATGGTTTCCTTGAAATCTTTGAAATTAGCCTTGAATCAACGAAATTGACCTAAAATAAACGTAAAGAAAATTTTTCCTTTCTTTAAGGAAAAAAATTCTTTAGAGAAAAGTCTTCAACTTAAATATTATTTGTCGTTAAACCAAAGAAACTTCTTCGGAACAAGAGAAATATTTCCTTATGGTTTTTCAAGGAAATTGTTTTCTGGGTGCACACGGCCACTTATTTTTCTTCACATTTTTCATTTTTTTTACTAAAAGAAGCAAAGAGCCTTGTACTGTGATGTCAAAGACGATATGCCGTTCCCAATTGTTTTCCGCCACATCTTTGAAACAAACAGAACGGTATGCGGCAAACAGATGGAGTATACAGCATAGTGGTGCCCCGCGGGCTGAGGGGAAACGTGACCGTGAACCTCACTGTACTTCGGTCCAGGATGCTAACGAGCAGGGTGCTTCTGTCGGGGTGAGAGAGATGGGGGAAGAGAGAGAGAGAGAGGGGGGGGTGAAGTTGGAGAGGCGCGCCCGGGCGCTCCATCCCCCTTGAGCCCTTGAGCACACACAAAGCGAAGCGGCGACCGTCCAAACGGACAGCCGCCGGAGTAGGGGCAGGAGTAGCTTGCGCCACGCAGCACCCCGCCACGCCCCGCCACGCCCCGCTCAGCGCGAGAGAAGTGAAGTGGCGTCCCAAAGGAGCGTCGCGCTGGCCAGGCAAAAGGGGAAGAGCAAAAGGAGAGAAGCTGCTGCTGCTGCCAGCTGCTACAGAGCGCGACGGTCGACAAGCAGTGCAAGGCAGAGCTACGGCCAAGGCATGCAGTAGGCATAGCGGCAGCAAGCCGCCCAGTAGGCACGCTAGAAGTGGAACAAGGTGCACTGCCCTTTATCATGTCTACGGTACACGTTTTTGTCCTACTTTTGCACTTATATCAAGGAAGGACGAGTTCATCGAGCCCCAATATACTTGGAACATTTAAA